CTCCAATTATTCCCGCCTATTCCCGCATTGAATCATTCCTCAAGTCATAACATTAAATTAAGTTATCTTTATATCTTTACATAATATAAAGGAATTTGGTGGACAAATGGATTTCTCCAATTATTCACGCCTATTTCCGCATTAAATCATTTTTGAAGTCATAACATTAAATTAAGTTATTTATTATATATGGTAAGCAATGCATAATACTAAAGGAGATGCTTGAATGTGAGATGCATGCTTGACCAACGCATGAGACCTAAATGATCGAGGTACAGTAACTTTTTGGGTTAATTATCAAAATAGGACTAAAAGTCACTCACTTTGCACAAATAGAACCAAAAATTAAACTATGATTTCATAAGACTAATTATGTGTGTCTTGGACAAATATACCCTTATAGCTATTGAAATGTTTTAATTCATAATAAAATAATAAAAAATATTAAAAAAATTCAAAAAAATACTAAAAAATAAAAAAATATTTCGATAATAATAATTTATTTATTTATTTTCAAAAAAAATAATAATAAAAAATTTAAAAATAATAAAAAACTCAAAAAAATAAAATAAAATTCACCGCCGCCTCTGCCGCCTCTGCACCACCACTTCCAGTCACCAGGGGAAAAAATGCCAAATTCATTACGAATGTCATATTTATGGCAGAAAACAATGAAAATGTTGGCATTCTCAAAGAGAAATATGCCATGTTTTTGGCATTTTCAGAAAAAAAATGGAAGTTTTTAGGAAAAATGGCATTTTTTCACCGCCCGGAGATGGTGGTTCAGGGAGGTAGTACAGGCGGTGGGAAAAGTAATTTTTTTTTAATTTTTTATGGAGTTTTACTGTTTTTTATTAATTTTTTAAAAAAATAAAAAAAAATTAAAAAATAATTTTTTTAATTTTTTATTTTATAAATATTTTATAAATTTTTTAATTTTTTTTCTACTAATTTTTGATTTTTTTTCGAATTTATTATGAATTAAACATTTAATTAACTCATATTTAAAGGAAGGGTATGGAAGGAAAAAATAGGTATGTTTTCTATAGGACTAATTTGGTCTTATTTTGAAAAGAAAAACATAGTAAGTCCTATTTTGAGTTTTTGACATAGTTTTAGTCCTATTTTAAGTAATTTCTATAACTTTTTTTTACTGAAATTGAGCTACAATAACTTAGTATATCAATTTTATAATAATTTAATCAAAATAGGCATACAATTCAATCCGCTACAAGAAAATTGACTTTTTGGGATGAACAATTTTCGACCAACGTTAAATTTACTTGAATTATAATGAAGATATGCGTTTTATGGACCATATATATTGTCGTACCACATGTATGCGATCACAAGGGTAAATACACATAAAATTTGAATAAATTAAGGAGTTCATTATCATCGTCCATAATTACTTGAATCCAATTACAATTCTAGAAAATTATTCAAAACCGTTATTACGTACATAGAATATCTCATCTTTACAATTTATAGAATCAATGGATATAAAAAAACAACCAAAATTAGGGACCGAAAAAAGCCCACTATATTACCCGGAAATTACCCGTAAGGCATCGGGTCATGAAAATTAGGGACCGAAAAAAGCCCACTATATTCGGTCCGAGTCGGGTTTTTTGTAGCCCGGGTTCGGGTTGGGTCGGTTAAAGCCCGAATGTGAAATCACTCATTTTTCTTTTATATTTTAAAATCTGATTTCAAATAAAATTAATAAAAAGTACAAGCCACAAATAAAATTAATAAAAAACACAAATATTAGTCTCCAAAATCACCAAGAATTCAAATCCAAAGAAGACAATTATCATAATATTTTGTTTAAGATGCATAAAAATAAGTAATATAGGTGTTGTAAAAAAGTTATGAAATAAAATTTAGGGATAAAAATGTAACTAAAGTTACTATAAATATGTTTTCATGGTCATTATGGTAAATAAATTGAACATATTTGTAGTCACTAAAAGTTATTAAGTCATTTTTTCGTCCATCATGATTATAATCATAAATTAGGAATTAATTTATAAATTATATTGGTATATTATATTGATTTTATATTAAGGCTAATTGTTTCGGGTTTTATCGGTCCGGGCCGGGTTATAGATTTTAGGGCCCGTTAAAGAGCCCGAAGTTTCGGTTTCGGTCCGTTTTTTTTTATTCGGGCCGGTCAAAAAGAAAAAACCCGGACCGATATCATAATTAGGGCCAGGCCAGGGTCGGTTTCCGGGTTTCGGTTCGGGTTTTCCCACCCCTAGCTAGAATTTACAAAAATTAAGTGGATAAAAATGTAGATACAAGAACAACATAAAAAAGTAAAAAAATAGTTTCCTCAATTTAAAAAAAAACATACTTTTTAGTCTAAAAAATGTTATTTCTCTTATAAAATAAATCTCATTGAGTAACAAATTTATATCAAAAATACTAGGGTGACTGGGTGAGCACATTGGTTTCAATTTGGTTTTAATATCAATTCGATTCGGTTTGAAACAGATCGGAATCATACTATGTTTTGGTTTAGTTCGGATTAAATCACTTCGTTACAATTTGAATTTGTTATGTTTAAAAACATATTAAAAATTTATTGACTATTTGAGTTCAGCTCGACCTTAATCAATTTCTCACGGTCTCAATTAGTTTTAGTTTGATTTAATTTGATTTGAACGACATACCACTAAATTCAAACGAAATTGCGTATGATTTGATTTCGGTTCAATTTGGTACAATTTGGTTTACTTAAACCGAACCGGTTTGCTGACCCCCTAAAAACACTCATGAAAGCTCATTCTCTCATAAGATAAAAACTAATGTAAATTTTTCTTAACCTTTTTCTTTATGTATCCATTTTTTTTATATCAAATTTGAGTTTTTGCGACTTTACAAGACTTTTAATGTAATTTTTGAATATATAAATTTTATTTGCTAAAAATAATTTCATTATTAACAAGGATCACTTAAGTTTATGACCTGTCAAATATCGTAAACACAACCGAGACGTTACCCGGGTCGAAGGTAGTATACAATATTCATTCAATCTCTTTTTAAGTTGAATAATGTGAGTTGTGTTTACGATATTTGAATATTGTTGAAAATCAACTCACATTATTCAACTTAAAAAGAGATTGAATGAATATTGTATATTACCTTCAGCCCGGGTAATGTCTCAGTTGTGTTTACGATATTTGATAGGTCATAAACTTAAGTGATCCTTGTTAATAATGAAATTATTTTTAGCAAATAAAATTTATATATTCAAAAATTACATTAAAAGTTCTAACGATTTACTTTGAAAAATAGTGTGTAATTTCAAAAATATTTAAATTAGGGTTGTAATCTAATTTCACAGTAAAATAGAATTATTCAAATTTGTATGAAAATAATAAATCCATTAGTATGTGTTTTGAAATTATAGTTAATAATGGTGTAGTTTAGGATGTTTTAAAACTGACTAAAATTTGGTCGTTCTTTGATAGTTGTGGACTTAATTGACTCAGAAAAAGTACATGGACTCAATTGACTTTTTGTTAAAAGTACGTGGACCTATTTGACAGTTTTCCCAAAAATAAAAAAAATGGAAAACAGTAAAAAATGCCAGCTTGGACGTGAGGACGTCCACGTAGGTATTTAACCGGGTAACCGGTTGATTACCTACTAAAAAGCTGATTTGATCATTTTTTGATAGTTGGTGGTCTTAATTGACTCGAAAAAAGTACATGTACTCAATTGACTTTTTGTTAAAAGTACGTAGACCTATTTGATAGATTTCCCTAGAAAGTTTTTAAACATCTTCTTCATTAAGTCTAGTTTATTCATAATTGCGCAGTTAGACAACGCATTAGATTTCAGAAAATCATTTGATTGCCTTCTCGATAGATTTTTTAGTTGAAATTTGGTATGGGTAAACTAGACTTAATGAAGAAGATGCTCAAAAAAATCATCAAAAAATTCCACCGAAACTGCCCCAAATGGCAACAGCCGAACAAAACCTCCTGTAAAAGAGCTTATTTGCCTTTTTATGAAAATTCGAGAGCTTATTTGATAGTTCTCCCTATAAAATATATAAAGATGAGATCAATAAATTTCAGTTCAAATAAAAACATTCATAATCACCCAACTGCACACGTTTTTATCATTTTCTTGTCACCAATAATTATACTACCCTTTACATACAAAATACTCTATATGAAATTTGTGGTAGGCCACACCAGATCCACCCAAATTACACCGATAGACCACAATTGGGTATGTTCAACAAGAATTTTTTAGCCAGTTCGGGTGTTTGGATCCACTATCTAGAGCTCATTTTGTTAGTATATTTTTCGACTTATCAAACTTATAACTAACTATTTTACTAAATAAGTTACGTAACTTTTGATTTCACGCGCTAAATTGTGTAATAAATAATACTTAGTGAAAAGTAACACTGGAATTAATTTTCTGAGTGTGTTGTCTGAAGTTAGGGTCATTTTAGTTATTTCTCATATAATTCTTTCTTTATTTTATTAATAAAATATATTTTAATTATAATTTTACTTAAATCAGCAGAATCAACTAATCCAGCCACTTCAATCAGAAATATTAATAAGTTTCGTTAAAATCAATCGATACAACCGATTTTGATGTTACCAGACGGACTCTTAAAATTGTTTAGACTTCCACAAAAGGAGTGCTTAGGTGAAATGATAGAAGTACTCTCTCTTAATGGCTTCTAATTGTTTCTTCTTGAGAATGGGAAATGTTTGGTTCTAGAAAACTTATTCTATTTCAATGTGACATTTATTGAAAACAAATACGGAGCAGCTTACTCCCTCCATATTTGAAAGTTCTCTACAATAGGCTTAGACACACCATTTAAGACTGAAACAGTACGAATAATGAATAGTGTTAAATAGTGTAGAAAAAGTATGAGAGGTAGTGGAAAAGTACGAAAGAAAGATAAAAAAGTAAGAGTTATTGAATATTTTTAAGGGAAAATTGTCAAATAGATCCTTATACTTTTACGAAAAAGTCAATTGAGTCCTCGTACTTTAAAGTTAATCAATTGAGTCCATGAAGTATTAAAAAACAACCAAATAAGCTATTTAGTAAGAGTATGTGACTAGCAGGTAACCCGGTTACTCACTTACATGGATATCCAGCTGGCATTTTTTACTTTTTTCTATTTTTATATCTTTTATTATTTTTTATTTCTATTTCTTCTTCGTCCTCTGCTCCCTGCGAATCTCCAACTTCTTTCTTTTTCTTTCTTTTCTATAATACTCCGCTACGTATGAACCAACCGACCACCTTCCATTAAAACGTTTCTCTCCAGCACCAGTTCAACTCCCCTCCCAGAGTCATGGTGAACCGGTCCATATCCCAGTAAGAGCCCCGAACAAGTGAAATTCCCCTTCTTGCAGTTCAGACTTATCATGCCACACATGGAAATCCCTCCATTGATAGATCAGAGGCCCCTTTTCACACTCGATAGAAGTTGTCAGTCAGATTAATAGCTTCCAGCTAGTCAAGACATTGGAAATAAGTCAATTTTGGATCCTGTAAGGGGAAGATGTCAAATTTATCCCGACGTGAGCAATTTTTTTCTCCCATATGAGGCAGAGGATGGACTCGTTAGAGGAGGAGGGGGGGAGGCCCAGGTGTTCTCGTTGCACTCGTCCCCGGAGGTAGACACTTGAAAGACCCAAACATGTCATCGATTGAGTTATCCAGCTATGATTGCATCTTGCTGAAGGAGGTGGTAGGAATGACGGTGAGGACGGGCTTAATGAAATTGTGGGCGAGGCAGTTGATGACTAGGGTTAAAGCCTTGTCTAGAGCCTGGGCGGTTCCGTCTATAATCTTGTCGGCCGCTCGAATTGCCAAAAAAGCGCAACAAGAATCTGCTCAGATGACTCCACTTTGGCCGCCATTACCAGGCCTCAGAGAGGGAAAGAAGTCGGCTTTGCAGGAAGAAAGAAAAAGAAAAGGGAAAAGGAACAAATTATAAAAGATGTATAAAACAGTAAAAAAGGGGTTAGCTGGAAATCCACGTATGTAGATGCCCGGGTGTTACCGGCTTGTTACCTACGAAATAGCAAAATGGTTGTATTTTAACACTTAGTGGACTTGATTGACTCACTTTAAAGTACGAGAACCCGATTGACTTTTTTGTAAAAGTACGGGGACCTATTTGACAGTCTTTCCTATTTATAAATAAAAACTTACCAAAAAAGGAAAGTGTAGCAAACTTTAAATATTCACCAACTTTAAAAGTATATCAAAAGAAGAGAAATATTTGACCATTTCCCTCTAAAAGATGCACGTCAAATTTGCGCTTAAATTTGCCCGTTTTGTGTCTAGCGAAGCTGGTTGTTTTGTATGAGGTGACTAATTTTATGTTTATTCCTAGGATTTGAAATCGGCTCGGCATAACGGTTGGAGATTGGTTTGTATGATTTATTAATATTAATATAAAAAGCCACTCTTTTATATTTTAAAAAAAATGTGCCGCACTATTGTTTTTATGTATGAATTGGAATGGATGAGGACATCATTTCTAGGGCTCACATTTTTAACCGAAAACAGAACCGGAAAAAACTGAACAGGGCAATACAAAATCTGAACCGAAATCAAAACAACTTGAATGGAACTTGAAAGTCGGGACCGAATATGAATCGCTTTGAAAACGGCTCTTTCATATTTAAAATCAGTTCAAAACGAATCGACTTTTTATTACATAATACTACGTAGTAATTTAATGAATTAATTCTACTTTTGGTCCTACGTGTTTTATGTCAATTTCACATTTAGTCTCTGTCTTTCACTTCGTCCGCTTTTGATACTTAACTATTACTTCTTGGCCTTATGCCCAATTTTTTGACGCCTTTCCATCGATTTTAACCACCAGAAATTGACAAAAATCATATATAGATAAAAAGTAATAGTCATGTCTTAAAATGGTCAAAATCAAATGCGTGAATCAGTTGTGGAATTGGTATAATACTTGTAGGATAAAAAATGAAATTTATTTGATATTTATTTATTTGAATTAATTCTTTGGAGTATAATGTACGGAGTACTACGTAATATCTACCTTTTGCATCCAATGTATACCAAAATTCAAGTGGCTCAGTGGTAACGCACAATGTATCCCTTTGTTTCTCACCCATGTTCAATCAATCAGTGCATCAACCACAAATTGCCCTGTTTTAGTTTTTTCCCATGCAATGCCATTCATTTAGTTTTTTTTTTCTTCTATCATTTGGGGTGTTTAGCATTTTGGATGTTTGGAATTGATTCTACTTAAGTTATTACCCTAAATAGGACTAAAATATTACGGAAGTTCCAAAATAGGAGTTGTTATAAATTTATTCCCTGAGTAGGAGCTATTAATTGAGTCATCCATTTCCATTCCGTGTTTACGGCTGTTATACATATTAACTAGACAAATAACCCGTGCGATGCACAGGATATATCTAGAGTAAAATTTTAACTTGATTAAAATTATATTTAAGTGTTATGTTATACATTTTTTATTTTTGTTTATAGAAAAAATGTATAAATAGTGTATACAACTTTGATTATGAAATGCTATTTTATAGGCAAAATAAAAATGGATCGTCACAAATCTTTCAAATAAAAGAAAAATAAGTATACACTACCTTCGTCCCTAAATAAAAGTCCATGTTTCCTTTTCGGGCCGTCCCTAAATAAAAGTCTTTTTTTTGCAAACAAAACAGTGCAAAGTAGTACCAAATAGTGTCAAACAATGCCAAACAGTCAAAGAATCCCACTTTCTTAAATTGTGTGTAAAATGAATAGGGGCTTTTATATATGGACGGAGGGAGTACTACCTATGATGTAAAAACATATTCAACGTCAATGAAAAGAAGTGATAGTGCAGTGTGTAGTATTTCCTTTGTTGGTTGTCATAAATTTCTATAAAAATATTTATTTAACGGTGTACATAAACTATTAAAATTTTGAGATGCATGTTTGTAATTGCCCTTTTAGTGGTGGTCACACCTTGTTTTTCATCACATATGATAATCTCTTATTCGTCCTTGAGGTAACCATAGACATGACAATGTACATAGGCGGGAGTATATAGATTCCTAGTCACACATATTTACATTTATGTCCTCCATTTAGGTAGCAGTTTTACCTCCAAAACTTGTGGCAACTTTGCTATTTAATATAGAGCCCGTTTGCTGACCCTATTTTTTGGCTTATCAAACTTGTCAGCCAATTTTTTCACCAAACACGTAACTTTTGATTTCGCGCGCTCAATCGTGTAATAATAAGAAAAAGTAAGGTTAGGGTTACTTTTCTGACTGTATTGGCTGAAGTTACTCTTAAGTATCATTTTAACAATTCTTTTATATAAGTTTTTCTTTATTTTATTAATAAAAAATATTTTAAATTTAATTTTTCATAAATCCACAGAATTAATTTTAAATATAGTTTTTTCATAAATAAAACTATATCCCATAGCATAATTTAAAACTATATCCCATAACATGAATTAGCTACACAATATTGATTTACTATCATTATTACTACTATTATTATTGTATCAATCAAGTTCTTTTTCAATTCTTGTTTTTGTAGTAAGTAAACCTACTATTTTTGTTCTTGAGAAATTTATTTCTAGTGGAAATTTGAAGTGTGACTATTAAAAGATGTTAACTATTAAAAGATTTACATATTAACTATTGTTGAATGAGATTTTTCCTAAAATGTTATAAAAATCAAATTTACTAATGAAAGTATGACTAAGTTAGTATAAGAATAAAATTATATAGTCATTTACATATAGAACTTTAATATAAAAGTAGTCACTTAAAATTGATACTATAGTCAGTGCACTTGAGGAGTCATTTTTTGTTCATCATCTTTACTTTAGTTATAAGTGGTCATTATAGTTTAAGTAATAGCCCTAGAAAAAATAAAATTATGAGTAGAAAACTAAAACGCCTTTTCACGCCTAGGTTTCGCCTAAACCCGCCTAGGCTTCAAAGGCTTCGGACCTGGTCATGTCACCTCGACACGTCTTACGCCTTTTATGACTCCTTCTATGGAGTCATATATCCTATGTGGCATAATCAAAACCACACATTTTTTTAGTGGAGAACCACATTAAAAAATGTGTAGTGATAGTGATGCCCACCTAAGCCATATGACTCCATAGAGAAGTCATTATATGCTCCTTAAAACCTCTTTTATTTGTAAGGGAAATTTCCCAAAATAGGAGTAAATGAAGTTTGAAATTCTAAAATAAGACTACTTTGTTTTTATTCTCGAAATGGAACTAACATGACAGTATTTACTGTCATCTTGTAGCTGTGACTGCCAAATAGTTGCAGTACAGTTCATTTAACATGACAGTATTTATTATAATTAATGACAGTATTTTTCAATCATGACATTATTTTTCATACATGACAGTAATAACTTCTATTTCAGGAAGAAAAACATATTAGTCCTATTTTTGGAATTCCAAATGTCATTTGCTCCTATTTTGGGTAATTTCCCTATTTGTAATTGTTCATTGCAATTGCGCTTCAATATGGAGTCATGGTGCTTCACATAAATATTTATGGACTATGGTGCAAAAGGGCATTTACATATGGCGCTGAGAGTGTGGGAGGCTTACGCAAAGCCCGCTTGGTTACTACATTTTCAGGTTATTAGCCAACTTTTTAATCAAATACATAATTTTTTATTTCTCACGTTGAATTGTGAAAAAGTTAAAATAAATAAGGCCAAAATTACTTTTTTGAATTGGTTGAAGTTACTGGAAACAACCATTTTCGTTGTTTTTGGTATAATTTTTCTACATTTTATTAATATAATATCTTTAAATATAATTTTTCACAATTCAACAAATTCAGTCAATTTAGCTATTTCAGCCAGAATTTCATCAACTTTGACAGATTAAGTGTTTTACCCGATTTCAATGTTACCAAACGGGCTCGCAATAGGTTAGGGTAAAATTATTTAGTTATGAGGATACATGATATCCTCATAGCTAATGATATAATTAGTTATTTATGACAGGTTTCTGTGACTTCCCATGTACGGAACAATTACATGAACTCTCCATTCGGTAGACTCATGTTGAATTTTAGTGAGATTAATTATTTTCACGTGCAATAAACTTTTTGTCGTTTTAATATGATTTTTTTCTGGCTTTTTTGTAATGAGTTGAATAGATCTGATTATTTGATTATATATTTGTGTACATGCTAATTATACCGTCTTATTTATGGAAGTATAGCTGTATGGGTACCCATAGTTGTATATACGTAGTATAAGGGAAAAGAATCAAATAAACCCTTTTACTATTTTCAATCAATCACTTAAATCTCTATACTAAAAAAGTACTTTGTATCATATAAGTATTACTTTAAACAATTGATCAATCTGGCGATTTAATCAATTTTAAAATTTTTGACTTGTAATAGCAGGTTTTTATATTTAAAAACTTTAAAAAACTGGTTAAATTTAATTTCAGCAAAATTTATTAATGCAATATTGCATTACTTATGACCAAATTGAATTATACGGTTGTGTGTGATTATGTGTGAATGTGTGATTTCGTAGTTGTGAAATTTCATGGAACCTTATAATAGTATTAAATTGATTGTTGTGATCTATCATGGAACCTAGCTTATACATGAAAACATGATATTTATAATGTGCATTCCATATTTATGATCAAATATTAAAGTTTTTCCCCAAATTAATGTTAAATAAAGAAAATAATTACTAAATTAGTGTTGGGTTAAAAGTATTTCCCAATTATTTGACAATATTCTAGGAAAAAACTCTAAATATTATGGAATATTATACTCCATATTATTTATGACCACGTTGGAGTATTTTATAGCTTATATATACGTGTGATTTATATATGAAAAATTCTACTCCATTTTTTATTTTTATGGACTAAAATTGGAATTAGACCATCACTTTCTACTCTACCCTATTTTTATGGACTACAAATGGAAGCAATCAACCCGATATTCCATTTGAATGGTTGGATTTTTAATTATACACTTTGCTCTATTTATTTAGGTCAATGTAAACGTATTCGATGGATCGACGACCTGGGGGTAGCCGGAATCCAAGTAAAATAATTAGAGAAATTGATCGAAAAGACT